GATGGATGGATGGATGGAAGGAAGGAAGGAGCTGATGATGGAAGGAAGGACACCAACTCAAGAACTTAAATGTTTAGTAGAAAAACATGTAAAGAAACAGAAGACTGGCTTTCCTTTGTGGTTGAAGGTTATTAGAAAAAAATTGTGCCCTTCATTAGGAAGCAAAAAAAAATCAAATCAATGGAGGATCAAGTGTCAGGAAAGCAGAAACATTATCTGGAAAGAAAACTGGTTTTGTTCTTCCAAACTTAATGAATGTGCCAGTTCTTCTTCTAAGCAAAACTCCTTTTTTTTTTAGCGGACTCAACGGTGGACAAAAGGATCCATTACATATTTCACATTTCTTGGTTTCACCATCCGCTCTCTGTCAACAGACAACGCTTAGCTCAGCGTCTCCAGAGTGCAGAAGACAGCCCTGATGGCAGAACGGCTCTTTGCCAGGGGGACAGGAAGGAAACGCTGTGACACGTCATGGGTGAGTCGAGGGAGGAAGAGACCCTTGCCAAAACTAAGCTCTCTCCCTTGTATATTACAGAGCCTAACAGTGGTGGTTGGTGGGGTTGTCTTTTGCCTTCTAGATTCAGTGGTTCCCAGCCCTGGGTCCTCCCAGATGTGCTTGGACTGCAACTCCCAGAAGCCTTCACCATGAGCTCTGCTGGCCAGGATTTTTGGGAGTTGTAGTCCAAGAACATCTGGGGGACCCAAGGTTGGGAACCACTGGCCTACATGGTCTGGGATTCGGTTCCCAGAAGCCCCACTCAACAATGGCCCATCTGAAAGGTGATGCAATTTGTAATCTGGAGAGCAGGGAAGGGCCAAACACAGCCCTCCATCTGTCATTGGACCACAAGCACCATCTGCCCCACGCCAGCACAGGAACCCTGAGGAATGACAGGGAATGACATGCTGGCAAAACCCCGGAAGGCTATGCTTTGCCCACCTCTGCCCTACAGTGTCTGTGTCCTCGTAAGTCAGAGGAGAACCTCGGTGTACTGGGAGATTGGACGCTGAACTCAGGCATGACTTCAACCACCAGAATGCACCCAACCTCGTCTCTTTCTAGCAACCTAAAGGTGGTTTGACTTGGTCTGCAACTACAGTAGGACCTCTTATCCACCGGATCGGGATCGGCTGATCCACTTATCCGCTGACAGAAAATATGAAATTAAAAAACAACCTATTTATATGTATTTCCATGGCGTATTTATCAGAAGTGGCCACTACAGAGAACCAGAGACCATGCAATATAGAACATCCCATACTTTTCCAACATCTACTGATGATGTGCGCTTGGAACCGATCCCTCACAGATACCGTACAGTGTACGAGAGGCCATAAAGTAAGAATCAGGTAGAAAGCCACTCTTGCTAGTCAGAGCTACCAATACCGGGCTAGGCAACCATACAGTCTTGGCTCTAACCTCCCATAAGACTGCTTTCGATGTTCCTTTCAAGCAAGCAGCCTTTAGAAGGCAGTAAACCCAATTAAAAGCAGGATGAAACAGAGAAACAGAGATCCAGTCGTCTTAATTTCTCTCCTTCTGCCTTGTTAATGATATCCAGACCGCTGCCTGGATGGTGGGTTGTTTTTCATTTATTGAGGAATGAAAGTAGAAACCACATCCTATCAAGAAAAAGGAAAAGCCACACACTTCATCGGGACTTCCCCTTTCTCCCACCCACGCGGCGGCACTCACTTGTGGGATTTTTTCATGTTGGCTCCATCGGGTCCCTTCCCACAGTCGTAGGCCTGGATGGTGAACGTGTAGTCCTTCTGCAGCTCGCAGTCTAGCTCCTCTTTGGATCGGATCATGCCCTCCCCGGTGGTCTTGTCCACCACCACGGCTTCAAAGGGGACATTCTGCCCGTGAATTTTAAATCCACAAATCTCACCTAAAGGGATTCAAAGCAGCTCCCGTTAGTCATTCCAGGCTGATGAAAGCATTTATATATTTGCATGACTTAATTTTTTTTTTCTTACTTAAGACACACATCACTGAACAGTTTTGCAGCCAAGGGTTTTGGGGGTTGTTGGATATAATTTTTTTTTTTTGTGAAGGTCTGTGGAACAAAGCAAAGAAGGCATTGTGCTTTAAAAGATGGGTGAGTTTCCGGGAACTTTTAAGTTTATTTATTTATTTATTTGGGGGGAAAAAAAATAAATTTAAAAGGCATACAACATTTGGCTTTCCAGGCAACTGGGTTTTTCGAACTTTGCATCCATTTCATGCAGGAATACAAAAAAGAGATACAGAGAAAAGAGAGATGCAGACAGGCATTTCACAGGAGTACTTAAGAAACTGTAGGGCAGAAGAGTTAAGAGCTTAGAAGAGCGTACAGCCATCTTCTACGCCAAGCTACTAGGAAATAGCTGGGCGGCTTTGTTGGCTTTGAACCAGAGGAGAAGGTTAAAAATGCGCAGTTACAAAGTCCATGGAGTGGAAGTGGGGGAAAAGATGGAAGGAAAGCTTTACAATATATAAAGAAGATTCAGCACTGTAATTCACAAAAATTCTGTCAATTGGTTGGAAGGGACAAAAGACTTCCTGTGCAATGTACCTGGCTTTTTTTTAAAAAAAAAAGAGAAAGAGAGAGAGTCAGGGAATCAGAATGAACTATTGAATGAAAACGGTAGAAATACTAGCTTTTCAGGCATCCATTTCAACAGTTCCAAGCTAACTCAGCACTATCTGTGTTAAATCAGAATCTATTTACAGGCTCCAGTGGAGTCAAACTGGCGGTGCTTCTCCTGAACCACATGGCAACTTCACACACCAGATTTTCTACTATCCTAACCACAGTCATGAGAGTCAGAGAGCCCCACTTATTGGTGTAATCAGTATCATCTGCCTTTTTCAGTGCACTTTTTCAGTGCTAACCCTAGTGTAGGGTGACATCTCTGCCTTCATGGTCAACGTGGTGAGTTTCAAAGCCGAATCTGCAAACTCATTTCAAGACTAACCACCATTTGGAAACTAACCACCATTAACAGAGTGATGTAGGCAAAGGTTGGAAAGGGCAGAAGAGACGGTGGAGCGAACAAGCCCGCAGGGTACTCCAAGATCAAGAACGTTACACCCACACTAGCCCACAGCATCTCCTCTTAATGGTACCCAAAGTGATATGCATTCTAGGCTGGTGGTTCCCAGTCTTGGACTTCCAGATGTTCTTGGACTACAACTCCCAAAAATCCTGGCCAACACAGCTAGCGGTGAAGGCTTCTGGGAGTTTTACCCCAAGGACATCTGGGTACCCATGGGTGGGAACCACTGGTCTAGGCTATGAATTGCTACTGGGTGCTATAGAAGTCAAAGGTTCACTGTGTAAATTCAAAGGTTCTGTCTCTCTCTCTTTCTTCCTTCCTTCCTTCCGTCCATCCATCCTTTCATTCTTCCATGCATCCATCCATCTCTGCATTTATACATCTCTGTCTAGAGTAGCAATTCCCAAACTGTTTCTCAGAATTACACATACACACTAACTTTTAATATACCCCTCTGAAAGGTCAAGGAAGTAATGATTAAACAAGGGCTATAAGGTGACTCACAACCCCCCAGAAAACACCGGTCACGACCCTCAGGTTGGGAAACACTGGTCTGGATTTATAACTAAACCTAAAGGATGATTTAAATATGAATACCCTACTGTTCAAAAGGATGTCTGATTTACCGATATTTCTAGCCCAGGGTTTGTTACATAATATTTTCTATCCATATATTTTAAGAGGAAGAGGAGTGGGGTGAGGCAGGGAAGAAAACTGGGACAATAAAATGAGGTAAAAAAAATAAAAATAAAAGCATGACAGGATCTTCAGTTTAAGTGCTGATTCCCCATTTCATAACCAAAAGTTAGTGGGTTAATACTCATAAAAGGGAGAGAATGAACCCTTCATCACCTTTTTTGGTGACGGTCACCTCAAAACTCTCTAAAGGGAGAAAAGATAAACCCAAGTCAGTAAATCCAGGAAAGGCGGAGAAGGGAGCAAATAAGGAAAAGGTCAAAGACGTAGGCATGACGCAGAAGACCTCTGAACATTTTTTTTCCTCTTTTACAGAATCAAAATCTCATAGTCAACTCCTACAAATGCAATGAAACGAAACCTTTTGCCTTGTTTCTTAGCTCTCCCCAATCGACTGCCGTGTTCAGACACCATTGTAAACATACACGTGGGGTTGGATTCTGCAATTACAAGGCAGATCAAAGGCCAGATCTCAGTTCTGTGGATGGAAGGAGTCATTACTCCTTACAACGCTCTAATATTATACAGTAGTTCGTTACCTGCTCCTTTCACTGCCTTGTCGATTATACAGTTGACATTTTATTTATTTTTATTTATTTATTTTTGGACTTATATACCGCCCCACAGCGCTACATGCACCTCCAGACACCATCGTAAACATACACGTGGTTTTGGATTCTGCAATTACAAGGCAGATCAAAAGCCAGATCTCAGTTCTGTGGATGGAAGGAGTCATTACTCCTTACAACGCTCTAATATTATAGTTCGTTACCTCCTCCTTTCACTGCCTTGTCGATTGTACAGTTGACATGAACCACAAATCTTTAAAACAAAGTTAAATAACGATGCATCTTGAACAATACCTCTAAGAAATCTTAAAGTTTGCTTCAAAATAAATTTGCAAAGGTCCCACTGCTAAAACAAACAAATTACTCCTTACAACGCTCTAATATTATAGTTCGTTACCTCCTCCTTTCACTGCCTTGTCGATTGTACAGTTGACATGAACCACAAATCTTTAAAACAAAGTTAAATAACGATGCATCTTGAACAATACCTCTAAGAAATCTTAAAGTTTGCTTCAAAATAAATTTGCAAAGGTCCCACTGCTAAAAAAAAAAAACACACACAAGTTTAATAAATACTGGTGAAAGAACGTCCAATGAGGTCATTTCCCTATAGTCAGCCCATCATGTCTTACTGTTCATGGTGCTATCCTGAACTTGCAGTGCTGAACCTTTAAGACTGACAGGCTGTGCTGGCCTGGCAGGATTGTCCTCATCAGCAGCTCACCGAGGTTTTGGGGCCTGTGAGTGTCAAACCCATCTCCTGACACCCACCTGAGCAAAAACACAATCCTCTTCCTTAGCAAAGGCAACAGCGTTTTCTTTTACAACCTACGCCGAGCGCTGGTCTGCTGACATGAGCCAGAAGATGACGCTACCCCAACCTTCTTGATCGCCAAAGGAGTATGAGTTGAAGGCTAGTGTTCTAGACTAGGTCTTAACGGCTGAGACCAGCCTCCTTGGGCTTTCCCAGAGGATCTGCAGTACGTTAGAGCAGACAATTAACTGTTAGAGCAGTACGACAACGGACCCAATGACCTTGGGAGGGGGGTGAGCGTTCCAATCCTGGAGGCCTTCAAGAGAATCAATGGACCACCCTCTGACAGTTTTGCTTTGATTTGGTTTCCTGCACTGAACCCGGTGGCCTTTGACTCTTCCAAAACCATTATTCTGTGATCCTCGGTTTGTTGATTTGGTTTCCTGCACTGAGCAGGGGGTTGGACCCGGTGGCCTTTGGCTCTTCCAAAACCACTATTCTGTGATTCTAGGTTTACATAGGTTTTGCCTCTCTCCTAAGGGTTGGGTTATTGGCAATACAAGCTTCATGCAATAATATGCTTCCATCTTTTTCCTTTGATCCTCCATCCACTACTGGAACGTTGCCCTCAAGAACTTCTCCGAATCGGGTCACCTGCCCCTTGGTCTAGCTCTCCACCTTACGCTGCAGCCTCGTCCTCCTTTGTCTTGTTACAGGAAAGCGAGCCACCGAGGGGAGGCAGAAAGAGGCCCCGCTCTTCCCCAGCGAGGGCTGGGAAGGTACAGCTGCCAACAATGAACAGGCCAGGGCTTCGGCACGGTGCGAAGTGGGCAACCACACAATTGCCGCATGCCGAACCGTGGCCTTCGGGCATCTCAGCTTGGCGGGCTGCCGAGGGAGTCTCTGTGGGAGGACGAAGGCTTCCGAGGGACCGTTCATGGGTCTCCTGGCTCATTAATGGCGGTCGTCCATCCTTCCGCTCTCTGAAGGCATAGGGTTGCGAATGCAGAAGCGGGCTGCCGTAGCACCTCCCTTTCCAGGCTGCCTTGCTTTGCTTTACCAATGAAATGTGGTATTAATAGAAAGCGCTTCACTTGGTATAGATACACATATAGGGAGGTTATTTATAAACTGAACAAGTACCAGCTTGCTTAAAGAGCTGCATGTTAATTAACAGGGGAGGTCTTGATGCATCTGATGCCTAAATAGCCCTGTTTTATTTATCTATTTATAGTGGACCCTCTACTTACGGAATTAATCCGTATTGGAACGGTGGCCGCAGGTTGGAAAGTCTGTAGGTCGAGTCTCCATAAGCCTACAATGCATTGAAAACCAATTAATCCATAACCGGCTGTTTTTGTTCCGTTTTGGATTTTTCTGGTCTGTAAGTCGATTCTCCAGCGGCATGTCAAACCTAAATTTTGCGACCAGAGAAGTCTGTAACTCGAAAAGTCTGTAAGTCGAGCCGTCTGTAAGTCAAGGGTCCACTGTATTTAAAATATCTCTGCTTTAAAAAAGGCCCCAAGGTGGCTCACGACATTAAAAGACAAGATATAAAGCTAGCAATGGTGACTTTTAAAAGATTTAGCTACATTAGGGTCTGAGGGAACTCTAGGAACGCTCCAATCATCATCATCTTAGAACTGCAGAACTGGAAGGGATCCTAGGGAGGCGCAGTGGGGGAATTCGAACCCCCCACCCTTCTGGCTCCGCAGCCGGAGATCTAAACCCCCAGAGCTCTCCAGCATTGCAAGCTCTATAAAATGAACATTCCTATAAAAGCATTAAGACCAGCATTAACCTAGAGGTAACCCAGTGGCAGAGGAGAGAGGAAATCAAAGTGTGTTGATGTGACAGTAGTGCCCGGCTTTGCTTGGAGGGGGACACATGGGCGGCTATTCTGCTCTTGGCCACTTGGACAGGCATATAAACTAGATCCAGCAACGCTAACTTTCCCCACAAGACAAGCGTTTGCTCCCTTGGCCTTACAGCGCCAACACTTAATCCATGCCATAATACTGTACTCCTTATGCCTTCAACATCTGTAGGGGAATTAAAACCAGCAGCAGCACAAATCAAAATAGGAAACCTAAGCCCGCGCGGATGTTTTCATTCTGATGAGAAATTGCAGGGCAGAAGGAATGAAAAACCACCCAGGCCGGCAAAATTTTAAAAAGGAAAAGGAGGCGTCCTTTTCTGTAGCACCAAGATGGCACGCCAGATGTTTTGGGGGCTTTGTTAATGACTGCAGAACCACTAGGCTGTTTTATTTACAAGTCCATTTTTAGCTTAGCCCTAATACTGCGGAGAGGGTGGGCCGAGGGTTATCAGCTGGGCATAAGACTAAAGGCACTGGAAACCTTTGATTTGAAAATGGCCAGCCTGTGCTTTGATGCGAAATCCATGATCAAATGAAAATAATTTTCAAATGCTCAAAGGAGAGAGGGCCTGGAGTATCTGAAGCAGAAACTCTGGATGGTAGGCATCAGACAAACTCATCTCACAGCAAGGGGGTGGTGGTGGTGGTGGGGAGAATATTTAGCCGGACAAATTCCAAGCATGTCAGAGTCTTTCATTGGCCTTTCATGTACCCGGCGCTTGTTTGGCCACTCACTGTTCTGCAGAAAAGCCAGGAATTTTCACCCAAACGAACATTTCTGAGCAGCAGGAGAAAGAAAGTGTGGGGTTTCTTTAAAAAGGGGGGGGATCCACTGAAAGGAAGCCATTGTTGCGGCTCTGCATATGCTAATTGGACATAGAGGCCATCGTTTAAGATGTGATCCGTATCTCCCTGCTGTAACTAACCAGCGTGAAACATTTTTACCAGGGCTGTGCAGTCAAAATCCCTTGGGGGGGGGGAAAAAAAGGCAAACATTAGAATAAAATCCAGTTTTTTGAGGAAAAAGCAGACGGACACTGAAAAAGGCCCAATCAAATCCTGCTCCTATACAGTATTTACAACCCAGAAAGGGCTGCTTTACCACTGGAGATAATGGGAAATATTTCTGCCATAAAATGGACCCTTTGATGAAAACAGCTTCCTTGTGAGATGGAAATGGCCATCCCGCAAGCGTACCCCTCACAGATTGACAGGAGATTAGATGGCCACAATGTGCTTACGTCAGCCCCTCTCTCTCCCCCACAAGCTAATCTAGCTTTCCGTCTCTATGGCAGCCTCCCAAGGATGGGTATCTGTACCTTATACCAGGTCAATGGAGGTGCCCCGTCCTGTCCAACTAAGAGGCAGCGTGGCCACCCTCAAACCAGGAAGACTTTTCTGTAGACTCTTCCCATGAAGAAGGCCGCACCCAGGTTCAGAAACTGGTTGGGATGTGAATGTCCCGGAGTCAGGTCGATGCGGACAGCGCAAAAGACAGAGAAAAGATTCCGCCGCCCCCCCAATCGCAATATACGATCGGGGGGAACGGAGGAACACCCTCGGAATTGAACACACTCTTCGGTATTGAAAAAGGATCTCAAGTGAGCCATCCCATATCAATCGAATGGAAAAATTTACTGCTGGAACTCCGAGCTTGAAACCTTTTTCCTTTCTCCTTTTGCTCCTTTCATTTACTGCTGGAACTCCGAGCTTGAAACCGTTTTCCTTCCTTCCTTCCGAGGCCCCCCGATCCTCCGAACGGCTTTTTCTAGCGAAAGATTGACACGGACAACCCTCTAATTAAAAGCTTACGTTTAATGACAATAATAATAATAATAAAAAAGATTCCAGCCACCAAAACGGTCCCTTGTGCCTCGTCTCCTGCTGTCTGGCTAAGAGGGAGAGCTTTGTTTTAATATCCTTCATTAAATAAAGTTGGCTGTCAGGCAAGTGGCTGACCCTTGGCAGAGACTTAGGCAAAACAAGGAAGTGGAATTAAAAAAAGGATGCGCAAACGGGCACCGTGAGGCTTCTCATGTTAAATGTGAAACAAGATAGGTCTGTTCTTCCAGGATTCAAGCCATTAAGTACCAAACTGCTTTGTTTTCTTTTTAGAGCAGGTTCCTTCAATATCAGCCTGTAAAGGTCTTTGTTCGACATCATTCTCCTTACAACCGTTACAACCACCACCACCTTTGTGTGTTGTAGGTCTTCTACTTGGAACCAACCCAAAACACGTCAACCCCTGAAAATATGGGAAAAAAAATTGAAACTCCAGGCTCCACAAATTTTGTTCGCATGTGCATCTGTCTGTGTGTGTGCATGTGCATTTTAAGGGGGGGGTGCCTGTGCCCCATTTTCAAGCAAAAATGTCATTTCTGAAAGTCTCCCCCATGCCCTTGGTTTCCACGGCGGGTGAATAACATGTATTGATTATACACCGCCCCATATTCGTTAAAGCACTCTGGGCAGTTTGCAGTTTACAAGATAATTATGCAGGGTACATTTTGGCTCTTCCAGCCCCCTGTGAACTAAATTTACTAACCTTGAAAGGAGGAAAGGCCGGGCAAGCCTTGAGCCACCTCCCTGAGTCCCCTTGGTGCCAAACTCAGGTTTTCAGCAGAGTCTTAACCACAGTACTGCAGTTTAGCCACACCACCTCCCTGAGTCCCCTTGGTGCCAAACGCAGGTTTTCACAGAGTCTTAACCGCAGTACTGCAGTTTAGCCACGAGGAGGCTAGACATTTATATGTGATGCTGTGCCCATTCACTGTCTCTGGCCTGCTGCCTTCCTGTTGCTTTGAACAACAGATGATGAGAATATGTAGTCTAAGACATCCGGAGGGCACCACATTAGGGGAAGACTCCAGGCCTTGAAACCCACTGAAGTAGCTACACAGGGGGAGTAATCATCCTGCCTGTTGTTTAAGAGGCCTCATCCAGTCCCTGGCCTGCTAAGAAAATATTATGGAACAAAACCACCTCTTCATCCTCAGATTGTCTAAGGCCCACTGCTGAAACCTTTCTGGTTTAAGTTTGCTGCTCAGTCTAAAACAAGAGACCAAAATCGGTGCACAGTACATGTAAGGAGGCTATTGCTTCTCAGAATATCCATGCAGACGAATGGATTTCTGACTCCACTAAACCCAACAATGTAATAGCATCCTACTCTTCCAGCAGGGCCCCCAATCATCTCAACCCGTGTTTCCTATAACGGAGAAATCCCAAATTCTTGACTACAGTGGCAAGAATTAGCTTGCTGGACTTGATGGATTTGCACAGCGGTTCCCCATTAATGGGACGATACACCATATCTCTCTATGTCCGGCACTGCCTTGGTGGTTATCTGCCCATTCAGAACAGTCTGATTCTCCTCTGGCACACCCTGGACATACCAATGCTACATTCGCGACTTGGCGTTCGTGGGACTGTCTCTCTGCTCCGGCCTGAAGATGCTGCCCTGCCTGAAGATGAGCTGTCCTTTCTTCGTCATCCTCAGATGACGCCTCTCTCCAATTCATTGCCTATCTATTGAAACTGAAACTGCACCACAACTTAAACAAAAAAAGAAGGTAGACATCAAGTAAATGCATTGACCAATTATTGGAATATTACAAGCAGCCCCCGTTTCTCCTGCTGTCTGAGAACACAGCCCTTTGCTAATCAACAGCAAGGCCTCCCTCGTACCTGCAAAACGGAGAGGAGCATCTTTATCCAGCGCTATTAACGGTGGGTCGAGCAGGACTGTGTTGTCGTTTTCGGTAACGATCCCGTGGTATGTGGTTTCGATCCATGGCTTGTGCTTGTTAACTATAAATGAAGGGAAGAAAGCAAAGATTAAGAACAGCACGTTTCCATCTCCCCCCTCCCCCTTTGGCACAGATAAGGAACAGGAAATCTCTGGATTTCCAAACATCGATAAATTCCCACTCCCGTCCTCCATTGCCACGAGCCAGAGAGGCGGAATCTCTGTGGAACACGAGTCCAGTTTCATCTTGAAGCACACAGGGCCCTTGTCTTCTTAGTTAAAGCTTGGAAAGAATGTGCTAAGTTCAATTCTTTACCTGTACAGTATTTGTTAAATTTTCTAATAATTAATGCAACATTTGTTACCGCAGTAGCTGAAATCAAGGGACAGTGGTGTTTGGCTGCATTTCACATCTAGCCATTTATTACTAAATGTATTATTATACATAATAAACTCTACTTTAAGTATTATTAAATCATGGCTAGGTGTGAAATTCAACCAAATGCCACTGTCCCTTTTATCTTAGAGTCCTGTGTGGATACTTTACAATGTAGTTTCTGTATTTTGATTCTTATGACCGATTAAGCTGACATGTTCCATGAAAGTTTACATTAAAATATTGCAGTGAAACATTAAGGGTTTTTTTAAATCTTGTTTTCTTTTGTGTTTCTTGTTGATTTACTTTAACACTTCATGTTACAGTAGCTTATAGATTTGTTTATTTTAAACATTTTTACCCCGCCTTTCTCCTTAAAAGGTCCCAAGGCGGCTTACAACAATTAAAAGATAATATTTCAAAGCTAAAAACAGTACGTATACAATTTTTTTTAAAGGATTAAACAAGTATTATTTACACACAGGCATGATCGCTAATCTTAACATGATTATTTCAAAGTGCCACAATTGAACAACTGAATGAACGAATTAAAATTCTCAACGCTCTGCTAGGATATCAGAACTCTTCTGTGGTTTGAGATAACACGTAATTTTTAGTACGGCTTCCCTTCTATCCAGCGATGGCAAGCAGTCCTGGAGGACTTCATCCAGGTGTAATTACGGCACCATAAACCCACTCAAAATAAATCACCTTTGGAGTTCTGCAGTCAGAGTCTGTCTCTCCTAGCAGGTCTGGGCGATGCTGATCTTTCACGCAGACCAATGGTATCTGTTGCCCTTCGGAGGGCAAGATGCCCTCTCAAACATCTGTTCCGCTGGCCAAATGCTGTTATCTTTGTGTTTACAGAGGCCATGAGTCATCTTTTTAAATCTGTCTACAGTGGGGGGGACGGGGCTGCCCCTAGCCAGCCTTAGACAGCAGGGCAAGGAGGTTAAAGATACCTACTGCCTGGTTTATATCCAGATTAGAGCATCAGCCACTGTGAATTTAATCAAGTTAAGTAACGCATGCAGCATCCCTCAATATGGCTCGTTTTTGAATATCATCCCTAGAAAAGGAGTGGGACAGGCGCCATGCGGTGTACAGGTTTCCAGACTCCACCAGCGAATTCTTTCGCTGCTTTTCTAATCAAACGGCTACATCCAAAAGACGTTGAAACGGTTGAAGACTCTCAACTAAGAAATGGATGCACTTCTGCAGTGGGAGTGGGGAGAGATGACGGATGAGAACTCGCCACCCAATAATCCTGTACGGTTTTACTTGGAAGCACAGGCCACTGAATTCAGTGGGACTTCTTCTCCGCTACGTAAGCACAGAATCGCAGCCTTGAAAGCATCAAGCCACACCTGACGGGGAACCAATAATCGTATACAGTAATTCTTAACATCTCTTTGCCCATTTAACACACACACAAACCAAGATACCCAGTATATGAGAGGCATGAGAAGGAAAAGTTTCAATCCTGGCAATGGTTTTCTGAATAGGAGTAACAGTTAACAAATTAATTATACAGGCTACATATTTTACTGACCTTGGAAGGAAGGAAGGCTGAGTGAACCTTGAGCCAGTGACTTGGGACTGAACCCAGGTCGTGAGCACAGTCTTGGCTGCAGTCTTGCAGTTTAACCACTGCGCCACAAGGCATGCATGGCATACTACAGTGCCAGAGAAGCAGACAAGAAGGTTGAGGTCTCAGTCTGACAGAACTGAGCTCACAAGCCCTTCTGTTCCCGGGCAAACGGCCCAGACGTCTCACCTCCTCTTCCATCACTCCAGATGTTTTGGGACTTTTAACTCCCAGAAACCACGGCCAATTCTACCACCTGCTTCGGCAAGAGCGTTCCGCTTCCCTGCCAGCAAAGTCATCAAGAAGGTACAAGAGCAACATCAAACCCTGCCAACGACGGGCCAGCTAAAACGAAGACCTTGGCCTGTTCGATGCAGGCATGCTGAGCTGCAGCCACAGAAAGAACAGGGCCCTCTGGCTTGAAGTGGATTTGCCAACCCCACGTGGCCTGGCAGGGCGTCAAGTTCCAGACCTTATAGAAATGGCTGGTGATGGGAACACAAGCTGCACCGCTGAGATCCCAAAAATCATGGCTTCTCTGGCGTACATCTGGAAGCGCCAAACGCCATGTGGGTTTCTAAGTTCCCATCCCCGGAACCGGGGATTTGACAAGACGAATTAAAACGAGTGACGGAGAGCGGGGGGGAATGTCTCCTGTCCTCCCACTATGAACAACAGCAGTTAAGCCCTCAAGAAGAGTCACTTTGGAGAAGGGACTTCTATTCTTTTATGTCATTAACGCACAAATGTGCCAATGACAGGGCATTTTTTTTTCCACATGACAAATTATCTCGGTCGAAGTTACCTACAGGAGAACGCTGGAACAATTCCCTATTATGTAGAAACTCTTATCTTGGTCTTACAGTTTGATTAATAAGCCATCTTCCAGGGAGGTTAATATGATTAAGTGCTTTTCAGAAGAGATAATGAATTTTAAGGAACCAGATTTTTGTGTGTGCGTGTGCACTACTGAAATTGGATTAATTCTTTTTTTCCCCTCTCGGATGTTTTCCACAGAAAGCCTGTTAAAATGCATCTGGATATTACTATCAAGTAAGTTAATTATAATGTTCTAGGTTCTAAGAACAAAAAGATATCAAATTTAAACTTCAGCCTAACGTAGCTTCTTATGTAAGGCATGATCAAGGTAAAAGTTTGGTTTTTTGGTGGCCAGAATTATTACATTTCCAGCCTAATCTTCCCCATTGATTCAAGATGAGGAAGAACTATCCTCCCGTATAAGGCCTGCTGGTACGTGTCAATGAATACAAGCATTTTAAACAGATTCAAATTCCAGCAGAGCAACAAAGCGAGACTTTTTGCAAAGCTGTAATGAAATTTTGCAAGAAGTCATGTAAAATCCACAGGTAAGTGTATTAAACAAGTATGCTCAAAAAGGATCGGCCGGTTAGTCTTTCAAGCACATTTTGCTTGGAAAACAGGATATTGTCGTTCACAATTTTGCTTGGAAACAGGATATTGAAGCAAACATTCGGGGGGAGAGAGAAAGAGTGGCAGGAATCACAGTGGAGGTGTCTGATCCTCATCTCAATACTCTGCGGACCTCTGAAAATGGCAGGACACCATTACAGAGACCTGAAGGCCTGCCCGCACCTCCTCGCAAGCAACATGCAAAGCCAGGATACCCGGAAGGAGAACGAGGGATGGAAAAGAAAGACCGTCCCTGAGGAACACCACACATTCCGGCCAGCAGACAAGATGGTACATCTCGTGGGACGGATGCATGCATCAAGGACTGGGAGGAAACACTGGCCTTTCTGTAGACCGCATCTTCTCAATAAGAGTTGGGCCAAGGGGAGCCCCCTCTGGATGTTGCCCCGGGTCCCAGACCAGCAGAGACCACGGTGAGGAAGCCGGGGGCTGTAGTCCAACAAAATCTGGGGTGTGTGTGTGTCACCCTCGCCCTCGATGGAGCAAGATCATCACACGACGCCTTCATCATGGCCTATGGCCAACTTGAAACTCCAACTACAGTGGACCCACTGAATCCACGAGATCTACACCAGTTTAAGGAGCCCAATCTACTTGGGTTGGCTAACTGGAGTGAAACCACAGATTTTTTTTTTTAAATGCAGGGTGGATAACAATCAATGGTGTGGACGGTTTTTTTTTTTTAATCAAATGATTTAAATCATCGGAGGGGGGACAGAAATCTGATTTAAAAAATTTAAATTGTGTTTTTTAAATCAAACCCATCCCGCTGTGATGCCATGGCCTCAACCCTAAGATCTCAGTACTGTACCCAGAAGCGAGGTGCACGGCGAAAGAAAGATTCAGATTACCCCAATGTGTCTTGCCATTTTCACAAGAAAAGGCAGTGAATCCGTGTGGGAGTTTTCCTGCCTTTCCTCCCCCCCCCCGCCGCCGCAAATATCTTCTCCCGATCTATATGATGGTTGTTGCATCGTTTAGCAAGAATACGATAGCCGAAGCCGTTAACAGAAGCACTTAGCCACCCTTAATCTGCCACCCCATAAGCAAGGATAGGTTCTGTTGGTTTTCTTGAAATACAATATTCTGTCATTCCTTCCAGAGACCCTGCTGGAATCAGCTGCAAATCCTAGGATAAGATGCGACAGCATTACCTCCTGGCTCACATTTAATCCCGCGGAGGGAGAGAACATTCCTTCGCACTCCAAGCCACCGCAGCTGAAAAAATTCGTTTGGCATTGACAGTTTTGAAAGCCCATTCCAGACTTGAGGAATGGAAGGCGTAGCTTTCTTCTCAAAGACTTTATTTACCAGTTGGGGGGGGCAGATGTTGAATGTGTGGGGTGAGAAAGCCAGTTCGGAAAACAGCCAAAAGACAACCTGACCAAACAAAGGCATATTTTTTAAAAGGAACGTATTAAACGAGACACAAGGCCATGCGGCAACCTTATTACAGCCGCTGGCTTAATTGCTTGGGATGAGTAATGATCAGCCCTAGAGGGTCATGATGAACAGGTATTTGTAAAATCAAAATTGGTTGGTCTTTACCCTTTTCCGGCCAGCAGTGTGCCGTGAGTAACTTAAATATCTGTGATGAAGTCAGTGATTTCTGAATGCAAATTGAAGATGACAAAGCGCTGACAGAA